TTTGCAACATATTATGAGGCTGTGGAAGTGTCGCCCATGCCATCGCAACATTTCTGATGTATTTTACCCGTGAACAGATCATTCATTCATGCTCTAAGTACGAAAAGCAAGCAAGTAAGTTACCGCGCAGAAATGCTTTGTTATCCACGGCGCGTCATCGTAGATCGTGCCATTGCATGGCTTTCTCCAGCAGTTGAGACACCGCTGCATCCTCCCCATGATTCCGCACGGCATCAAGTTTATGGCGGGGACCCGGTGCGAGTCCTACCCTGGCGGGATATGAGAGCTGCGAAGGGTGAGCAGCGTCGAGATCAAGAGACATGGAGCAACATCTCGCGAATGGATTCCACGAGGCGCAATGTACGTGCTACGAGATCATGTCCTGTGGTTCAACCCGCCGGATCCGAGAGCAGCAGAGGCCTGCAGCGGGGCGTCAACAGACACAGGCTCTGCCGGGGTCACACGCACGCCTACTGAGCTGCGCAGACGGTCTTTCGAGTTTATCCCATAGCAGTCACGGCGCCAATACCACACGCGCCACTCACGCTCAATGCCCTTCGCGTGCGACATCCACTCTTCCGTCGCGCCCGCGCCAGTGCCCGCCGCATTGGCGGACTTGGTGAATGGCATGGGGAGCGTGATGCTCCTGATGCAGCGCACAGACCACTCGACTATGCTGGGGGAGTGCGAGAGCGGGAGGATGGTAGGAGCTAGGAGCGACAGCAAAGACGGGTCGACAGCATCCAAGTCCGCAGCATGTGTAGAACGAGGGGGGATGTCTATGCACGCAATGCCTATGCCGCAAAGTAGCGTATGCGCATCTGTTGTCGACCGCAAAGGCACTGGCCAGTGAGAGGGAGGTCGGATCGACGCAGGCACGTCCAAAATAAACAGGCACATCAAGGCCCTGTGCAGCTCAAAGGACGGTGAATGCGAGGCGCGGCCAAAGAGCCCGAAACTGTAGGACAAACTGCCAACATTCAAACGGAAAACATGCGTCGGGCAGCGGCGAGGCTCAGACGAGGTGTTGATCATAATCACTGCTGGGAGACGATGAGCAGGGAGTGAGGAGGTAGAAGGTATTAGACGCACCCCGAGACACGTTACTTCCGAAATTCTGCAGTCCTCCGTGGCAGACAAAGTTTCCTCCTCTACCCAATCTCTGCCCAGAGTCATGCGGCTTGTGTGAATTTAGATTCGGTAATGACACAGGCCCATGTCTCCGTGAACAAAGAAGAGGATGGGTGCAGATGGGATCGGATCGAACGACCGACTGAGTTGTTGGGTCGATTCGGGAGCCAAAAATATGGCCGACATGCGTGCTTGGGTGTCCTACGGCCCCAACTAGGCACATTCCTGCGTAGTTCGAGCGACTATGGTGAGAGAAGAGCCAGAAAGAAGCGATACACGAGGATTTCCTTTTTGGGAAGCGCGAAAAAAAAAATCTCGTGATTGTCATTATTTTCAGGATCTCCTGTAATTTCACAAAAAAACCTATTTCTGTTCCACATGGAGTTCCTGACGTGAAAGACACGAAAAACGCGTCGAATTTGGTGGATGTCCTATACTTGAAAACACAATGGACACAGCCACTAAAGTCACATGAAAATTCACGTGGTTTGGTCCCACGCCCTGCCGGTTCCCACGACTCGGAATCCGCCGTGTGCGGGCAAACCCCCGGACTCTGTATCCGCCGTGTCTGCGGCGAAACAAGGATTTAGCGGGGGTTTGGGGCAGAGCCCCAACAAGCTGTGGACCCGCCGGAGGGACGGCTGCGAGCGCAGCGAGTAAGCCGTGCCGGAGGCAAGGGTCCTAAAGCTTGTGGTCGAAGACAACAGGACGCGTGCGTGACGTGACAAATGTAACACTCACGTGAACCCGATCAATTCTCTAAATTTTCATTCTCCTTGACTTTTCCTTTTGCCTGTTCTCCGCCTGTTTTTGTCCCACAGGCCAAGGACATGGCGTCCTCGTTATGGTCGCGGTCATCGTCAGGATGCATCGCTTCGACCTCCAGAGCGTTGGGTTGTAGACCGTCTTTTGGCCCAAATGGTGGGTGTTCTCCGGCTCGTTTCGCATGGAAACAGGGCGAGGTGCTTGTGGATAAGCCGCGTCGCCTTTGGGGCTGGTTTTCAACAAGTTTATGCCGATTCCGCTGAATTTCTGGCTACCATCTCGTTCTCGGTTCTCGAATCCTTCATATTCCGCACAAGACCACTCACATATCGTATAGCTCGCATTTGGGTCCAACTCCTTCGCTCGACGACTTGCAGACGCTCATATGCAGCAGAAGCAACTCAGGCAGCGCCGGGCAAGTTTCTTCTACGACTCTGCATTCATACATATTCACCCCAACTTTATTAGTCGTGGATAACCGAAGTAGTCCTTCTGGTCCTTCTTTCCAATCCCTAAAAGGCAAAATTTCTGAGGAAACCCTCAACGCCATCACCTTGAAGCCTTTCAAGCTTACTACTATGTCCGCGGTGCAGGCAGAAGTGCTGCCCCTGCTCCCCGCACTGGCAGAGCCATTCAGCCCAGAAAACTCCGATAATGTGCGCGATCTGCTTGTCCGAGCGAAAACGGGAACAGGGAAGACCCTCGCGTTCCTCGTCCCGGCCATCGAGGCACGCGTCAAAAGCATCGAGGAGTACCTCGCGGGCAACAATGACACTGGGAATGTCGGCCAAGCCAGGCAACGGTTTGCGCGGCGGACTGTCGGGACGCTGATCATCAGCCCGACGCGCGAGCTGGCGACGCAGATCGCCAACGAGGCGCTGCGGCTGACGCACCACCACCAGGACTTTGAAGTGCGGCTCTTCACCGGGGGAACAAGCAAGCGCATGCAGATACGGGACTGGATGAAGGGCCGCAAGGATATCGTTGTTGCGACGCCCGGAAGACTGCGCGATCTGCTCGAGTCGGAGCCCGATGTTCGGGCAGCGGTCGCACAAACCAGCGTCGTAAGTGTATTCTATGACCGACTTGTTATCTCTGCTCATTCCTTTCTACCTAGCTCATTTTGGACGAGGCGGACACGCTTCTTGACATGGGTTTCCGGGAGGACATTGAGGATATCAAGCGCTTCATACCACCTGTACCGCAACGCCAGACACTCCTGTTCTCCGCCACCGTCTCGAAGGAAATTCAGCAGGTTGCACGGTCTACCCTCGCGCCGAACCACAGGTTCATCAACTGTGTTACGGAGGAGACTTCCCCCGTCCACGCACACGTTGAGCAGTACCATACCGTTCTTCCCAGCGCGAGCGCCCAGCTCCCCCACCTCATGCGCCTCATCGCGCACGACCAGCTCACTAACCCCGGCAAATCTAAAATCATCATCTTTTTGCCGACTACCAAAATGACGCAGCTCACTGCGACGCTTGTGAACGCGCTGGCTTCCTCGACCCTGCCTGCCGGGAAAAACACGCGCGTGTACGAAATCCACTCGAAGCGGACGCAGGAAAAGCGGACGATGGTTTCCGATGCGTTCCGCTCTGCCAAGGGCGGGGCCACCATCCTCATCACGTCGGACGTCTCTGCGCGCGGTGTCGACTACCCTGGTGTTACGCGTGTCATTCAGGTCGGTATTCCTGGCGGACGGGAGCAGTACGTCCATCGCGTCGGACGCACGGGACGTGCCGGCACTGCAGGCCGCGGTGATCTTGTACTCTTGCCCTGGGAGATTGGCTTCGTTTCCTGGCAGCTCACGGACGTCCCATTGAATCCTCTCACAGTTAACGAACTCACCGAGCAGACCAAGCAGCTCGCCACCGAGTTCGATGACGACCCGACGGGCTTCTTCGTCAAGAAGAAGTCTCCCGTTAGAGAGCAGCTGTTCTTAAACAAGGTGACGCCCATCATCGAGGAAATTGAGCGCAACATCGGGACGCTCGTCGGGCGACTCGACGAAGATGCGATCAAGGAGACGTTCATGTCGCTTCTCGGGTACTACATGGCCAAGACGCCCGAGCTGCGCGTTCAGAAACCGGTCATCGTGCAGGGGTGCCAGGACTGGACGACGGGCGCGTGCGGGCTCGCGGCGCCGCCCTACGTGTCGGTCGCGTTCCTGCAGAAGCTCGGCCTTGGGGACGGGCGCACGAAGCATTTTGGGAAGACGGCGCACAGCATGCCCACGTACTCGCGCACGTCGGCGGCGAGCGCACCGTGGATGGGCCGTGGGAGGACGGCGAACCGTGGTAGAGATGTGACGCCGTCGTGGAAGCAGGAAGAGAACATGAACGACGACGATGTGGATGTCAGCGAGTACAGGTCCACGCGGTATCAGGATGTTGGGGCTGGGTATTCTGGAGGTCCCGGAAAAGGGAGGGGGCAGGCAGCCGAGTTCCGTGGGGCCTTTGGAGGTCGGAAGGACGCGAAGGGCGACTTTGGCATCGGTCTTGGTTATGAAGGCGGCCCAATGGGAGTCGGTGGCCGGCGTGGTGGAGACCAAAGTGGAGACAGTGGTCGTGGAAGCGGCGGTTATGGCAGCCGAGGGGGCGGGGGTGGAAACTATGGCAGAAGGGAAGGCGGGGGCGGCGGTGGAGGTTATGGGAGTAGAGACGGGGGCGGTGGGGGCTATGGCAATAGAGGAGGCGGGGGTGGGGGTGGCTATGGTAGGAGGGAAGGCGGGGGCGGCGGGGGTGGCTATGGTCGACGCAACGGACCGAGCGACGCTGGTGGAGGGAAATATGGTTTACGATGAGCGGCATGTAGAAGTATATGAAGTACAGTATTTTCTCTTATATTATTATGTCTTCTTCTCCTTGCTCAATAAAGTAATAGAATATCTTCGACGAGTGTCCAGTTACAATTCGTAGTCGGTGCAGTGACAAAATTGCACCAAGTCGCCAGCCCTATCGGCCTTTGTGCAATTTTGCGACTTTCCACATTGTTATCCTAATTGGAGGAAGAAAATGAAAAGGCATTGGAATGCTTCTGCAGACTGAGACTCATTATTTCCAATGCCAGGAAAAAAAAGCAAAAAAAAAGTTATCAAAAAATTCCGGTACGGGGAATCGAACCCCGGGCTAGTGCGATCAAGTTACTCAATTTAAACCACGTGACTTTTCTTGAAAGGCACCTATGTTAACCACTACACCATGCCGGAGACAATCTGTTCCGGGCAAGGTCTCGATTTGACATGAATGGACTCGTAACGCTGAGAGCCGCAGCGAAGGAGCAGGAAATGCCGTTACGCACAAATTTTAAACTAGTGTGGCCAAATCTATTGATTGGGTGACTTCCGGTAAGGTAAATCTATTCGAAAAATAATCTGTTGAAATGCCAAAGCCCATATCCTGAGCTTGTCGCGCCTGGATCTGACTCCATAGACTATGGAAGGATGCTATAAAGGCCTGGGAGAAAACTTGACGAAGCTCAGAATGTTTGAATTGCCTGGCCGACCCTCCAGTTTGTGACCCTCCGGTATTTTTTCAGAATAGATTTACCTTACGGGAAGTCGCCCATTATCTATAACAACAGATTATGCTTATAGAAAATTACTAGCTAGCTATGGTCATAACGGTACAGAACAACAACAATAATGATATAATGAACGTGGGTGCGGTGGAAATACAGATGAAAGTAGTCCGTGTCAATTAGAAATACAAAATATATCAATGTCCATGAGTACAAGAAAGAACGTTAACATCATTTCCAAAACGGATTCTTGGAAAACGGATTCTTTGACCCAGTCCGGGAATGCGATGTGGACGGTACCGGCATGGGGCTCGGGCTCGTATAATAGTCGTCAATCGTGCTCGTCGAGAAGCGCGACGTGATGTCCCGTGGCGACGACTTCACGGGCTCCTTCGGCTCGGGGACGCGGTGCGGCAAGCCCGTTACCTGCGAGTAAAGCGACGGCGCCGAGAGCGTGCTCGCGTCACTCAGGGACGAGTTCCGCTCGTGCTCACGTTGGACGTGCAGATGATGGTGGTGGTGATGCCGTACTTCCTCGCGGGGGTACTCGTAGTTTGCCAGCAGCTTGTCCATATCCCTGCCATCCCTTGCCTCCTCCGCCGCGCGTATCTTCGCCATCTTGACCGCCTCGCCCTCGATGGGGGGCAGAGACTCTGGCTGAGCGCGGGCGCGCCGGCTTGCGCGGTGCCCGAAGAACTTCTCGCCGAAGCGCAACAGCCGCCAGCGCCACCCAACGGGGTCGAGCTGCCTCTTCGCCGCGAACTTGGCAGTGCGCTGCGCACGTTGTTTACGGGCGCGCCGACGCCACAGCCAGACGATGACGAGGAAGATGAATGCACACCCGAGCGCCATAAGCAGGATCTCCCACCACGCGAGCCCGCGGCGCGGCGTCGAGATAGTTGTAGGCGCATTGAGGCCGGTCACGCTGGGGAGCGGCGGGACGCCGGGGGCGGTCGTGGAGGGACATCGACCAACTCGGAGAGGCACGCCCCGAGACCGGGAACGACGCTGGTAGACTGCTGACACGCGGCGGCGACGCACGTCCCGGCGCGAAGCACCTGGTCGGCGCTCGAGCATGCAAGGCATTGGCTAGGCCCCGAGCCGGAGCAGCTCGAGCAGCTAGAGTCGCAGGGGAGACACGTCGACGATGTGGGGTCGAAGAATTGCGTCTTGCTACATGTGGGGAGACAGCGGCCGTTTGTCAGGACAGGCCGGGAGGAAGGGCAGGATGTGCATTGGTTGAAGGAGGCGCCGGAGCAGGTGGAGCAGTCGGGGTGGCAAGTGAGGCATGACCCAGTCGATGAGAATGTGTTTGCGGGGCAGGTCGCGACACATTTGCCAGAAGCTGCGAGTTGATTGGAGGCGCAGGTCAGACAAAACGTGGCGGAGCCGGTGCAGGTGGTACACGAAGAGTCGCAGGCTGCAGGAGGGGTCAGACAGTTATGGAGCATATTATTTAAAGACGCACCTGTACAAGTCAAATTGTCCTGCGGCGAAACAAATGTGCCCGAGGGACAGCTCGCGACACATTTCCCATTCGAGAGAAAGAAGCCTGGGACGCAGCCGGTGCACTGCAGCTGATTGACCGTAGAGATGGAGCTAAAGTTCGGGATTTTGCACGACGTGCATTTAGCACCGCAGCCTGAAGGAACGAGGTCAGCAACATCCTCGCGGGGCAGAATCAGAAACGTACTATCACACTCGAGCTTATTGTTATCCGCGATTAACGACGACCCCGCGCACACGCCGTTAGCGTCCGCGGAAACGCAGGCGCCATTCAGGGAGTACGTCCCCGCGGCGCAGTCGACACAGTCGTTGGACGTGCCGCCCGTACACGTCTTGCACGACGGCGAACAAGGCGTGCAATTCGTGCCGTCGGAGAACGCGCCAGGCGGGCAGAGCGTTCCTGAGGACGTAATACTTGGCGGGGGATTGCACTTGGTGCGGTCATTCGCGTCCTGCGTAAAGCCCGTCTTGCACGCCGTACACACGCCCGTCCCGTCCGTGCACGCAGTGCAGCCGATCTGGCAAACTATATCCGCAATCAGCAAACAAGACCAGATGAAATAAACTACTAAAACTCACTCGAACAGTCCCCGTTCGAGGTCAAGAAGAAGCCGGGTGCGCACTGACTGCATGCCGTGCCGTTGGCAGCGGAGATAAACCCCGTTGTGCAGGTGCAGCTTCCGTTTGCGCCACAGACACCATTGACACAGTTACATGACGCAGGAGCATTGGGCGGGGTCGTGTTAAGGCAGCGCCCGCTCCCAGTTAGGCCGTCGTCGCACTTGGTGCAACCGGTTGGGCAAGCGGCGCAGCCTGGTCCGAAGAATCCGGGGGCACACGTCTCGCAGGATGAACCAGTAAATCCCGCTGCGCATGTGCACGTCCCAGAGGCGGTGCAGATGCCCGACGACGCGCACGGCGGGGAACACGCGGCGGACTCCATGTCGAAGAGGGTGAGCGTACTCGGTGCGGTCGTGGGGAGTTGGGCAATGTCGGGTATGGAGTCCCAGATGATGACGCGCGAGTTTCCAGGGGAGGGAGAGTTGACGGCGATCCAGACGCTCGAGGAGAGCGCGAGGGACTGGAGGCTCAGCGACGTGGAGGAGTTGGCGCCGATGGGTGCGGATGGGATGGACGTGAACGCAGGCTGGCCAGAGTACAGAGGCCCGGAATATATGGATAAACCGGGCTCCTGAGCCACGTTCAGAGGAAGGGCAAGGGAATTGGAAGAGTTCTTGAAGCCTGGTGAGGGCTGGAGGGAGGCGGTGGAGGATGTGAGGAGGTTATGGAGAAGTTGTGGATTTGTTGTAGAGGTGTATTGCCCAGGAAGGAGAAGGGCTGGCGGGGACCCTGGAGCTGATATCGTGACGCCGACTAGGAGTGAGAGTTAGGTCAAGGACAACGCCAGAAAAAGCAAGCAGACGCACTGGATGTGTTGGAATAGCCTTGGAGGCATTGGCCTGCCACGCAAACGACAGCGGAAGTGTTGGTTGTTGCCACTGAAGGAGCATTAGTATATGACGCGGAGTAGAAGGAACAGACACTAACGATTACTGACGGAGAAGAGTACAGGTAGAACAAGCATAGCTTGCTCGTCGTGGAATTACGCACAGATGGTGGTGGTAGCGGAAAGAGAAAGGTAGAACAGCACTGCCGACGCCGCAGGGAGTCAATGGCGAGCTCGGGCATTGTGGAATGCATCGTCCAGAACCCTTTTGTTCCCCTCCTGGCTACGGGCAGCCGGTCCGAGTGGCCACACAGAGTTTGCTATTGTGCAAGAACAATGGGAATTTGATCTGGGCCATTTACGGTCGTGTGCACTGCAATTCCCTCCATTCTTTCGCGTACAATGGTAGCATCGATTAACCAGTGAGATGTTGTTCCATTATCCCAGCCAACGCAAGCTGGGTAAAGGGCCAAAGTCCGAATATACGCCAAATGCCAGCATCTTGCGAGTACAGGGCTTGTCGGCTCAAACAGAGTTCTCAGTCCAGGAGATTCGGTATCCAGCACGGATATGAACCAAAGAATAAAATTCGCGGCCGCTCCGACCGATTCCTGAACGAGCGAAAGCTGCAAGACTTTTCTGGGAGAAGGGGGAAGATGTTGTGGTTTATTTGTACACCATTTGCGATGCAAATACAGCCAAATACACTTTCCTTAAATAGAAGTCGCACCGAGAGCCCTTCAAAGTTTTCACATTCTTCGCCGTTTACATCCACTGCTCCCCGGTGCAGTCCAACTTTTACTCCTACATTAAAAGCAACCTGCTCCTACACGTAGAACCAGGCCCCTCCGCAGCCGATTCCTCCCGCCCCATTATATTAGTATTTTCACTTTTCTTCGAATCCGAGTCGTCGCTGGCGTTGAGCTTTGAGCCAAAACATTCCCTCTTGTTTTCCCGGCTCCCATTCTCTACCCTGACATATTTTGCGGCCGTGTTCGGTTCCGCATTCAGCAGCTCGCTTTGATTTCTGCCGATTCAACTTAGCACCTAAATACTTTTCCAAGTCCTTGTTTCTGCACAGTGACATGTGCACCTAAGTGGGTATTGCGATTTTCACTCTTTCCTTCTGGTGGCCTCGTTTTCAACCTATAACCGGTTGGCCGGGGTTTCACGCGACTCGACTTGGTCGTCCGACAAAACATTTATTCTTCGATGTGACATTCATCGATTCAACCATTTGACGGCAACCGGCTCTTCTGTGTAGAACCAGAAGCCAGAGAATCAATCTCTACCGACCGACCGCCCCTGCTATTTTCTTGAGCCATTGGCACCGCAAATGAATTTCCTGGCGAGTACATACGCAGGTCCAAATAAAATAAAATAAACCGCTCTCATCTGCTCAGAGTCGGCTCCATTTCTCTGTTGCAACCTGCTTTTCACTCGTTTAACCCTCAGTAACATCCCTTTAGATGCCTGAATCTGCTTGGATATTGGTGTCAGAACGTAAGGCGCACTCATACCTTCGTTTCTGTGCAGTGTACGCTTGGACGTGCAGTAGGGTTTTTTTCTTCCTTGTTTTATTTTTCAACCCATGGCCTTTACATCATCAAATGAGATTCTGATTAATCAGGTTTAATGTGACAGTCCGCCGGTCGAACGAGGATCAATAAAACATAAAATCCCTTTAAAACTACAAAATCACAGAATCGACAGCAAATTTAACACAGCAATACGAC